GACCCCCGGCGCATCCCAATTTTAGGCGGCTGAGGGGAAAGGGGGGAACCAGCAAAGGAGACTGAGCAGGAGCTACCAGTGAGGTGAGAGTCCGGGCTGGCGTAGTGGCCTAAAAGTCAAGTAAAGAGACAGAACAGAAGAGTCAGTGAGTCAACAGGAAAGGGGGGACCAAAAAGAAACCACTAATCACAACCCAGCCAGCACGAAGCTAACAAGGAGACATCGCAGGTCACAATGAGGGGCATGTGGGTGAGCGTGGGGCTCGGATGGTTTACTGACTTGAGCAGAAAGGCTTTCGTTACAGTAGAAGTGCTGGCTCACGGATGCCAAAACATACACGTGACCTTCTTCCCTCCTGATGCAAGCAGGTCTGGCTATCTCACTTGCAAACCCTGTGCGAAGTGAAATCACAGGGCCCCTGGTCCAACAGTGCTCAGAATTTCAAGATGCTGGCGGCAGAGCAGAAGGCCGAGCGCAGGGCCCTTCTAAGGGCAAAGCCTGAGTGACCGTGACTGCATGGGACACACCCATGAAGCTGGCCCTAGATGCAAGGCCTCTGAGCTAGAGCAACGGAAGTGTCGCTGCTACGGCAGGCTTCCTTAGCTTTTGGGTTCACAAAAGCACTGCTTCTCGAAGCACGCAAGCAATACATAAATAAATAAATGAGACCACCATAAGGAGAATCTGTTAAAATGTAATTGGCTTTCTCTTCCAACTTGCTTTCAAAGCTAAATCAGCATATATGGATCTGAAATCATTATAATATGACAGTAAAAAAAAAAAAGGGGGGGCAGAAGAGTCATTAAATTTGATAGCACTAATAAAACCACATGAAAAAGAGAATGAAAACAGGCTTACTTTTCATCAGTATGCAGATGAAATGTTTTAAAAAATCTCCCTTCGTAGTGCTTTAGAAGTTTTGGTCAATGTCCCTAAATGAACATATAATGTATAAATTTATTTTGGTTCCATCCCATTGACATAAAAAATGATGCCTCAATCAGAATACTAAATACGATGCTAAAACTAAGGCATCCTCCAGTTTCTCAGGGTGATAAAGAAGTATTCTTCCCTACATATTTAAAATGCATGCACACATGAATGTATTTCTTTACCCAGCAAGTATATTCAGTATTCACTACTGTAAAGTATGGTACTAGGTGCTGAACTTGTATTTTCTTTCTCTTTCAGTCTTGTTCTATATATAATGGAAAAGGGAAATGAGCAATACCTCTTCCTCTACTGCATACTCCAAGTCATACCAGGGCTCACTTGGAGGATTTTCCTAACAGAAGTTATGGTAAAAATCTGTAGTGAATTCTTATTCCACGGTCTCTCTCTAGCTCAAAGGCTACTTGCTCTACGGAGTGCAACCCAATCTTCCCAAGTACAAATAACCATGATTCACCTGTGCCTGCTTGGCCTGTGTTCATGCTCACATTACAGTGCTTTTGATATCTACTGTCGTTACTTCTTTCCAAACTTTTCTCTGCTGCTAGAGGGTGACATCTGTGACAGCAAAAACAGTCACAAACTGATGCATGCCCAGTACCTAGCAAAGTGTCTGGCAAATATCAGGTGTAACATAGAAGTTTCCTGAATAAAGAAATAAACTGCTAGATAAATGACATTGTCTCTGGGCTAAATAAGTCCAGAGGCAGTTGATCAGCAATGGGCTGAATAAAGGGGTGGACTATACCTCTTGGTTTTACAGACCTCTATCTCTTGACTACATTTGTGGTCCACTGTTAATTTCACCACCAGTGGGTGACTGCTCTTCAGCTGCCTTGATTCTCCCTCTAGACTTAGATAAACCCTTTGGGGTGAGGTTCCACATATACCTATCAGGTTTAGGTGACAGGCTAGACTGCACACAACTGAATGGAGTGTGGCAGGTACAGAACTGCTGCTTCTCTTTACTAACAGACTGTATGGGGCTGAGCATTTGATGTTTGATAAGAAGGAAGTCAACATAGATGGAAAAGTAGGAGGGGAACCTGGAAATTAATTTGAAGCAATTTTAGCAAAAAGCCAATTTCCCACATAGTTAGCCTTGTAACACAGCAAGACCTTGAAATGACAGGTTTGTAGGAGGAATCTCAGATTGCTTTACCAGGGAAAACACACAAACACACACACACACGCGCGCGCGCACGCACACACAGAAAATTTTATTGTGGAGTGTTGCTGTTTTAAAGAAAATGTTCACATTTGTTATTTTAATGAGTAAGTTTGCTTATCTCTCTTGGCAATTCAGTTTAAGGCCCTAATATAATCTTACATAATGAGATTTGAATATAGGAATTACAGTGCACTAAGGAAACAACAGAGCAGTCCTGAGGGAATGGACAAACACAGAAGAAATTTTACATTTTCAATTATTCTAGGTGGTTTACTTTTTACAATCAAACATGCCTCCTATCGGAGAAAGCGTGTTAAATCTCTGGTAACTGCTCCCACGTAACTTACTATTTACATTGGTATGAAAGTGAAGTAAAAGCTGTATAGCAAGACCTGCACCTGCAATTTTATCCAAACTTCAAGTATCTGACTGAAGCAAATCCATAACATCACACATGAACGCTACACACGTTGTAGGCACTTTCCAAGTAATTGTTGATTGAATGACAATATCACACTCTCAAAAGTGAACCTGTGTATAAGTGACGCTGATTTCTATAAAAGTTTTAAAATACTAAAATTTTAAGTCATTATATATAAAATTCAACTACCCATTTATTCCAAAATAGCCATTAATATTATGTATTTTAAAGTAGTAATTTATTTTTACATTCAAGGGAATTAAATATGTACTCAGATGAGAAAAAATTACTGTGTTATTTACAAACTAACATTTGTAAGGACTGGAAGGTGACCACTGTCTAATTTAACAGGTTAATCCTAGATGGTGAGGTGAAGTTACTTCTCCTGGGCTGTACTAGATGGTAAATAACAGGTATTAGTACCCTTTTATTTAATTAAAATAACTCATTTAGCCTTAGTTTTATACAAAACAAAAATGATCAGAACTGTCCTGACAGCCCAGCTGGTGTGGCTCAGCGGTTGAGCGTCGACCTAGGATCCAGGAGATCGAGGTTCAATTCCCGGTCAGGGCACATGCCCGGGTTGCGGGCTCGATCCCCAGTGGGGGCTGTGCAGGAGGCAGCCGATCAATGACTCTCTCATCATTGATGTTTCTATCTCTCTCTCCCTCTTCTTTCCTCTCTCTGAAATCAATAAAAATATAATTAAAAAAACAAACAAACAAAAAAACTGTCCCGACAGATTCACTGCTTACTGAGAGTTTCCCATGTGCCAGGCCCCATGCCGAACACTTGACTGTCAGGGCCCTTTGACTTACTATTATTATTATTTAATGAGTCTGCCTAAGTGTACATTTTGTTAAATATTAAACCAAGTATTTATTATTGTTGTTGCTGAAAACCTATAATGTTCTGAGTCACTGGTTAAGACATCCAAGAAAGTATAAGCATTTAATTAAGGATTCAAAATACAGTGATGCTTCATAATATCAGTCCCTGAGACACATTACAGAAGGAAATGATGCCATCACTCATTTCAATGTGTAACAGACTGTGAGGCTAGGCTCTGCTAGGGGCTTTCTGCTTACTCAACACCCAGGACAGCTACAGCTTTTTACTCCATACACAATGACATCACTGGACATTTTAATGTAAAGCTTAAGTGCTTATTCATGTAGTCTCCACACAGGTGGTTTTTAGATGCCTCTATGGATGTGTATTTGTCTTTCCACAGCTGAACGACATATTGCTTTTTAAATTCATCTCTAAAAAGTTGTGTGCAATGACATTCAAGGCTTGCATTTATGTGACTATATTTCCCAGAATAATTAGCAAATCAGTGTTAAATGTCTTTGTCTCCTTAAAAAAAAAAATCATCTCGTAATCTGTAAACATTCTGATTTAGCATTAACTTCTCTAAATATTACTGTGTGGTTCAAAATAAAGTAATTCCGATTCAGACAGCTACCTGTTAAATGGATGAACTCTTTGCCATTCTACTGAAGACCAACTGCTCCACTTGTAACTGGACCCACCCGTCACTGTTCCCGGATGGTACCCTCCCCCCGGCATCACTGACTTTTCATTTCACTTGTTACCATGGGACATATTATGTATTTATTGTTTGTCTATTGTCTGTCTCCCTTACTACTCAGAATGAGGCAAGAACTTTGTTCATTGTTGCTCCACCACTGACTGACAGTGCCTACTGCACACTGGGCACTCAATAAGTCCTTGCTGAATGAAAGAACCAACATTGTCATCACAATCATAATTGATATTGTCTTTATTAACTAAATGCCTGGGTCTAAAGGGTCGAAGGATACCAAATGCATACAGTGCTCTAAGATAGACGGAAACAGCATCAAACAGGGTGACCTTGCTGGGGGCGGGGGTTGGCATGGAAAATAGCTAGACTTATTGGAAATGCTGAGATGCACCTTACTTGCTAAAGCCAGACTACAGTAGTCATTTCATACCTTAAGATTGCGGTTTTAATAAAAAGTAAGACTTAAGTCCATTCTGTTTTCTTACTGCCACAAGTCCTTATTTTTTTTTACCTTCATTTATTATAAATTTTGTTAAGTCTTTATGACTCTATGGCTTTTGAATTTAAGATTAACTTGTAGTACAAAAAATTTCCCCAATATAATATATTAATATCTTAAAACTATTGGAAAGTTAGATAAATTTCATAATTACTTAAAAACAATATTATGCTTTAGATATCTGTAATTTTTTTAAAAAAAAGTTTAGTTAAATATGAAAAGAATAATTAATTTGAAACAAATGGAAGCAATGGATATAATTTAAAATAAGTGCCTAAATACTGAAATTTAGAAGTGGGGGCTGTGATAATTGGTTCAACTGACATTTATCTAGAATTTTATTCTCATTATTTACTTCACCAAAATAAAAATTAATTTAAAAACTACCCACCATATGCTGTCAACTTACTTTACAATGATCGTACTGGAGCTGTAAGGCCGGAACATCCCCCCCAATAGGCATTTGGTTTTTGATCTCTTCATCTTTCACATTCAGCCACTTGATCAGCTCTTCCAAGGACATCAGCAACCTGTTCCACTTCTCAGCACTGGCCTCCAGATGGGCCCTGTTGAGAGAATGCTGATCACATTTAGATGTTTGAGTTGCATCCAAAAAATTACATATTTTCTTTTAGCCTAATAATTTTGTACGACCGACTGATGTTCATGTCCAAGAAAGAGGCTGACTCTTTGTAAAAAATAAAACTAATAATAAAATTATAGTTATTACAGTACTATCGAATATATTATTTCCCTGTGAGAAAGTTATTTTGAATTCAAAGGGTATGTTGGTACTATCTATCAAAACTTAAAATGTACAGCTCCACACCACAAAAGCATAAACATGAGACTTTCAAGAAAAATGTCCATAATAAAATGTAAAATTATAAAAACAAGTTTCAGTAGTTTATGTGTAGTATATATGCATATTCAGAATAACATTTTCTCATTTCATCTATTAACATGAAGAGAGGGATAGAGCAGAAAGAAATTATATGTATAAACAATGTTTAGAAAGATATATACTAGCTGTGGTTACACTGAGAACACAGTAAACACTTATTTTTTATGTGTTTTTGTACTAACTGAGTATTTACAACAGGCAATATTATTTTTCTTTCCAAAAAAAACTACTTAATTTTTAGAAAAGGAAATTACCAATGTCCTGATTTCTTTTGCAACCAAATAAATTACTGAAAGCAGAACATCACCAACAATGACATCGAAAAGTTGGAAAACGATAAGGCATTTCTTGGACAGAATGCTATTTGGCTTAAGGCTGACCGACATCCAGTGACAAATGTCCACTGTAAATAGAAACAATTGAGCAGAAATCACTGACTGCAGTACTTTATAGTCTGATGTAAAAGTAAGTCTTTGTTTCAATAATAATTTCTGTTTTTCACACAGAAAAGTACACTCAGATACTTAAATTATGAACTTCATAGTCTGGAAACCATGTTTAAGAAATACATCTTTATATGATGAAGACTCCAATAACAGCCAAGGCTTTTGAGAATAGCAATGCAAACAAAAGAACAATTCGTTAGTTGTTCCTGTAAGGGCCTTGGAGAAATCCCACTTATCCAGTCTCCAGCCCATACCACATGGGCTGGATTTGAAATGAAAGATCCATTGGAAACAACTGCAGAGACTCAAGAAATCAGCATTTACTCGATCCTACTTCACCCCAGTGGGCAGACTGAATGTGGACTTAAGCTCTAAACTGTATGAAATGGAATTACCTTGGCCTTTCAGATCAAAGGGGCAAGGCTACAGAGACAGACATGAGCCTTGTTATGCAATAGTTTGCAAAGACTAAAGACATGATGAGAAAAGATTTGGGGCAACTCCTGGTGCAAGAAACCTCTGTTGATCAGTCTTCATACCCTCTCAGACAACAATTCCCACCTTGACATTGGTATTAGGATTCCCACTTCCACAAAGCTGCTCTTTTACTGAGTGATACCAGGCACGGCCACTACTGTCCCTCAGGCCTACCAGTGATTTTTTTCCATTTTTTTGGACATCTGATCTACTTGAGGCTGTCTCATAACTCAGCTCTAAATAATTCAAACACATATTTCCCCATTGATCACATTAGGTGGTACTCCCAGAAACAGAGCAACAATATCTTAAGTCTTTGTTTAGAAATTCATAATGTTTTCAGAACTATAAATCATTAATCTCTAGTTCATCTGCAATTCAAAAAATAATAACCACAGTCTATCAGCCAATATTCTAGGTTAAAAGAAAAATCATGGAGTTCTGCATATCTCTAAAATAGCATGAACCAACTATTCAGTCACATACAAAAGGCCAATTGTCCTGTAATCTATTTCCAGTTCCATTGTCATCTGGCTAATAGAAAAGAAATTAAAATTCTATGTTTTATTCAAAGGAGCTAGGTATAAAAGAATAAAAAATAATTTTTAAATACAAAAAGAAGTTTGAGGTATTTTACAATTCTTTGACAATTACGTGATTAAAAATTTTATTCTCTTGCACTTAGTCTTTTCTATTCATTCTACAGATGCTAAAATTGACCTCATTTTACAAAACTGTTCCTTTCTTTGAGTCGCCTCTTTTTTATAGTTGTCTTTTTAAAAATTATTTTTCAATTATAGTTGACATACATTATTATATTAGTTTCAGATGTAAAACATAGTGATTAGACATTTATACACCTGACAAAAGTGGTCACCCTGACAGGTCTAGGACTCATCCGACACCATATATAATATTTATAATACTATTGACTATATTCCCTATGCTGTATAAAATTGTTCTTTAATGAGATTCCAATTCTGCTCAAGCACCAGCTTTTCTGTGTTCATATTGATTAATTTTAGGCCAAATATGTAATTACCTATCCCTGATAAACAATGATTTTACTCCTCACAGAGCAGAACTAATTTCAATTATATTAACTAGAAACTCTCTCTGACAGTTAAAAAACGATTCTGCCAATAAGTATGTTTGACTGACCTGATGCAATTCCTTTCCAGTATTTTTAAATGCAAATTTTTTAAAAAGACCGCTAGAAATCAGAGTGGAAATCAGAGGTCTTTAGTAGATCAGGAAGTGCTGGAGTTTCTCTGTATGAAACACTTATGCATATCCCCTGCCTCTTAGTTTAGACTTGGCCCTGCATCTTCAATGTCTGTAGCTTCGCTCTGTAATCAATAACAAAGCAGGCATTCCTTTTATTTCCAGTTACACACTCATTGTTTTTGGAGAGCATGCAAATGTCTTTTTCAATGCAATTAACTCTTTTGACTAAATAGAAATAATGAAATCGACCATTGAAATCTAAGGTACTCAGCACCTGAAGAACTATTTATAAAGATGAAGACAATACTTTTATAAAAGAGATACTGAAGTGACTCTGAAATTTAAAAAAAGATGACATGATATATGTACTTTCCTGCATCTTTCTTTTTCCATAGTATAAAGCAACCTGATCTGGCAGAATCTCTGCCTGGAAATCTGTCTTGGTTACCCTCCAATAGGCTATAACTGTGTCTAGTGGATTACTACCATATGCCCAATTAAATGCGTGCTTCCTTAGTAGCCTTCAGTGTTCTAGTTTCGATTTAATTCTTTCATCTTTCAAGATGAAAGCTTTTTCTTGGGCAATGGGTTGAATGCTCTGCAAGAAGAAACCTTAAATGTGTGTATGGTGTTAATTATACTTTCTCAGTTTGACTCTAAACATTTTAAAGCTTACATTTCCCATAGACTTTAGAACCAGTCATCAATCATGTTTCCAGAATCTTCACTTAAAACATTTCTTCATTCGACACATACCCGTGGCCCACTGACATCATGGATAATTGACTCGTTATCTGAACTCTCACCTGCTTCAGTTCATTTTTTGGGCACTTGACACGGGCAAAATAATAAATACCCTCATTGAATGTGTTACCAACCTAGGATGATGTCTACTGAACAATATGCTTTCTAAAAATTCTCTCTTTGGGGGTTGAATCATATATTTTACAACTGTCTAAACATTTTTAAGTGACAAATTACTTATAAAAATATGCAAAAAGTTCTTAGAAGGTGAAGATTCATAAAAATTATAATTATTTAACTATAGTAGAATGTCTCCTGCCATTTATTTTTAAAATTTGTTTTATTTTTCAAATGCAGATGACATGCGATATTATATTAGTTTCAGATGTCTAGCATAGTGGTTAGACATTTATATGAAGTGACCCCCCCCATAAGTCTAGTACCCATCTGATACCATACACAGTTATTACAATATTATTGACTGTATTCTCTATGCTATACTTTATGTCCAAGAAATAAAGAAAGAGGGAGAGAGCAAGAGAGAAAGTGAGAGAGAGAGAGAAAGAAAGGATGGAAGGATGGAAGAAACGGTGTATTATTTATTTTAAATCACCAGGTGCCTCTACCTTCCAATGCTTTTTCAAATAAGTTTTTAGTGCTTCTCCCAGTGTACAGATATGAAAAAGTAAAGAAATTTTGTGAGTAAGAAGGGAAATTTATTAAAATAAAACTTTTTTTTTCATTTATTCAATACAAACAAACATTTATGGAGCAACCACTCTGACATTGGGTACTACACTGCTTCAGAGATAGAAAGTTCTGGGGTGAAGTCAGGGAAAATACTCTGAAGCAGGAAACCTATCAACAACTCCAAGAGGGAAAAATGGCTCAGAGAAGGAAGGAACTTGCTCAGGAAGCCATGGTGAGAATTTAGAATCCAATCTAAAGTCCAAGCTCTTTCCACTACATTGCTTCCATCACAGGCAGCCCTTAAGAGAGCGCATAGAAACTACCCAGAAATGTTTGTAGACATTTGGGAAGCAGGTCTACCAAAGAACAGAATGACCCAAAGGTAAGAGGCGCAAAGACATACTATCCCCTACTGTGCAAGGACTTTAGAATTAGATGTCCAATTCTCACTACAAATCAAATTTAGTTTTAGTGTATGTTGACACTCATAGATTATAAGTTAAAGATATAATAAAAGAAAATACCTTTGTTAGTACAAGAATAACCAGCAACATTAAAAGAGGATTACTCCTGCTTCTAGAAAGAGAATGAAGGCCCATTAGGAGAAAAAAGTGAAGTCCTCAGAATTCAGCCTGTGCAGAAGAAACACTAAAGCTGGGCTTCCAATATGGTAGCCACCGGCACCATGTGGCTATTTCAATTAAATTTCAGTTAATTAAAATAAATGCAATTTGAAATTCAGTTCATCACTTGCACTAGCTACATTTCTAGGGCTCGCCATGCCACACGTGGCTAGTGGCTGCCGTACTGAATGGTGCTGACAGAGGACATTAGCATCACTGTAGAAGGTTGCACGGCAGAGCACTGAATCAGAGCAAGAAAGAAAGGAGCTCAGCAGAGCCTTCCTCTACCAGATCTGGGAAAAGGAAATTTTAGTAGTTTTACAACATGCTTAGCAAAATCAACTACCTAAGGTTAAAAGTGGAGTCAGTGACATTGTAAAATGTGATAACATTCAATGTAATGATGATGTTAAAGGTTAATCTTCTCTAACGGCTTTTTAAAAGGTGTCCTGAAT